TCAAACACAAAGTTGTGTCTTGTTTGTATTTGCACGTGAGGTCGGAGTTCAAGTTTTGCCGACCCCCCAACAAGGACCTCCAATAGAAAAGCAGATGTCAGACAAGGATATCCAGAGCATTCCCGCGGAGGTTTGAAGGAATTGTCTCGTCTGCCCACGGGAGACTAGGGGGACGAGCCCCCAGCGCTAACGGAAGGAGATGGTGGTTGCGGTTCAAAATCCATGGACTATATGCCCCCTGAGCGCCTGCAATGCGCGTGCGCCCACGGCTTTCCACCATTCGGCGCTCGGCGCTTGCTGAGCGCTGAAACGTCGGCCCCCCATGACCCCCAACCATGACTGTACATCAATGTTCCTCTCCGCTGGCAGCACACCGACATGGCGATGGATCCCACCTTGCGTTGGTCTTACTCTCTTCGTGTGCATTCTTTACGCTGATATTGTTTTGTATGACCTGAACCTGAGTGAAGTCACGAACGGTCGTTCTGCATGCGACTCTGACCCCACTCTACGTCCTGTGGTCTCGCCGTACTCTTTCTGACATCTGAGATCTGAACCTGAGTGGCACCGCGAACTGCCCAAATGCGATTCAGTCTTCATGCTCGTCGACCATGGGAAATGCTCAATCGCTCACCCGCACGACCGATGCGCTTGATTCCTTCGTAGCCGAAAGGGGAGCAGACATCGTATACGAGGAAAGATGGGCCTGACCGGGAGTTATGGAATGTTCATCTTCCACGTCTGCTATTAGTATGGGCTCTGCGAAAACGGTGAAGTGTCGGTATCGTGTCGGTATCGAAACGGTTATCTGGTGATCAAGATCTTCGTCAAGCCGGATGCTGGCTTGAGTTTGAGGAAGCAACAGCGAAAGTTGAGAGGTACGTAGATGTGATGACGGTCGCTAAACGTTCATGATGCTTCGTAGTTGAGCGAGAGGCGCTGGTGGACATACTGAATGTCTACAATTACCAGGCATTCGTGGAGATGGACAAGGCTGGGTACGGTATCCGACAGTGGATTGCGAGCAGTCGGTATGACCAGATCAGGTGCATTGACATACACTTGATTGATGCTCACGTCTTCATATATTATTGGATTCCAGCACTCGCCCATTCCTATCCAGCTACTGGACGCTCTCCGCGACGCACGCAACCGGAAGGTCTCGCATGGGGACATCAAGTCAGAGAACATCCTTGTAACATCATGGAACTGGTCCACCTGTCCGACTTTGTCTTCTACAAGCCGACTTTTTGCCTCTCGATGACTCGTCGGACTTCTCGTTCGTTTTCGACACCTCCGGTCGCCGGACGTTCTACTTCGCACCTGAACGATTCTCCACTGCCGCCGATAACCCCGATATCAGCGCAAAGAAGTCTCGGCCCGCTACAGACGATGGCGAAGGCAGGCGGGACGGAACAGTGACGGAAGCGATGGACTGCTTCAGCGCCGGATGTGTTGTTGCTGAGTTATTTCTGAAGGTGCGGCGCTCTTTACGCTGATCCAGCTATTCAAATATCGTGAAGGAGAGTTGAATGTTGATGCGCAATTGAGTGCTATCGAGGACGAGGATGTGCGAGTACGTCCTTTCCCAATCGCGACTACGTGGGCAGGTTTCTGAGAAGACGTTGTAGAATCTCATCAAGCAAATGATCATGGTTGACCCTTCTACGAGGCCAACGTTCGACTGCTTGCACACATCGCGCGGGATGGTGTTCCTCGAGTCGTTTTATCCATTCTTTCACAACTACCTGAAACTCGATCGATGAGCTGTTGTCAATGTCTGCGTTCGCCCTCGCTTCTCCCACGCTACATGCCATCACACCATCGGTATCTAAGAGTGCCACCGTGAAGGGCTCATCCCCCTGTCATCTGCCTCCGGCACCCTTGCAGGCGATGCATTCAACGAACCGTTCCCGAGCTTTTCAGACCGGAGGATGGAGAGGATATGGATGGATTTTGATAGCATGAAGTCGTTTTTGACCATAGATGATGCAGAGGAAGAATTGTGACTGACGTAATGAAGGAGTCTTCGAGACCTTCGAAGCCTCTTCAGGTATGTCAGCGACGCAAATTACATCTTCAATGCTGAGTATATGTCAGGACGTCCTGCTCGTGGAGTTGTGCGTACGGAGTCGAGTTAGTGAGATTCAGGGATCTGACAAGCGTGCCCGAGTTCGTGCGTATTCCGTTTGAACGCATTTATGCTCTGGTCATCCCATTCAATGGCCGATAAACTCTACCGCTCAGATCCTCATGCACGTATCAGCCCAGCGGAGCAGCTTTGCTCTCAATTCAGGCTGCATAAACTCTATAATACCCGGATCTCCGGCGAGATATCCGGAATCCGTTTCCCATCTGATATCGCCGCGAATCTCTGTTCTCGG